ACCCATCTCCCCCCCCCCTCCCCCTCCCTGTCTTTGTCTTCCCCTCTCCTCTCTCCTCTTTCAAACCCAAGAAAAAAAAAAAAGAAAAGAAAAGAAAAAAAAGACAAGGTAAAGAAGTCACAGATGAAAAGTGATATTAACAACCTTGTCCAGCTCGCTTTTTCCCTCGCCCTCGCTGTCTGTCGCAAGCTGCTTCTCTGCGTCTGTGCCTCTGTCTCTGTCTCTGTGTCTACCTCTCTCCTTTCTTTCTGCTTTTGTCTCTGCGTCTATCTCTCTGTCTCTCTGCTTTATATCTCTCTCTCTTCTCCTTTTATCTTCTCTCTCTCTTCTCTCTCTCCTCTCCTCTCTCTCTCTCTCTCTCTCGCTGTTTCTCTCTGTCTATCTGTTCTGATCTATCACTAAGTCTATTATCTCTCTATCTACTATCAGTCTATTATCTCTCTACCTATCTATCTATCAGTCTATTATCTCTCTACCTATCTATCTATCAGTCTATATCTCTCTACTATCTATATATCTATTATCTCTCTAATCTATATCAGTCTATTATCTCTCTACCTATCTATCTATCAGTCTATTATCCTCTACCTATCTATCTATCAGTCAGTCTATTATCTCTCTACCTATCTATCTATCAATATTATTTCTCTACTTAACTATCTACCTACATATCTATCTATATATGTAAGCATTTCTGTAAATTGACGTAATTACAGAATCTGATAAGTTATTACAATCTTCCCAATTTTATTCATTTGAATAAATAAATATAAAAAAGTTATATGCACAAAATGCTCAAAATGAAGGTAAAAAATAAATGTGATAAAATAAAATAAATAAACAAATAGAGAGAGAGAAATACATGAATTATGTATACATATCACGCATATTCACATAATCTTTTCAGATCTTAAGTAGCTTTTTCTTTTATATTAATTCCTCTACCCCCCCCACCTCCACCTCTCCCCCACCCCCACACCCCAACCCCCAACCCCCCAACCCCACCTCACCCCCCCTAACCCTCACCCTCACCCTCAACCCCCACCCTCACCCCACCCCCCCCAACCCCCCCCCAACCCCTACCCCCCCCCAACCCCCCCCTCACCCCAACCCCCCCAAATTATAATAACAATGACTAAGAAAAAATATAAAAACAAGATTGTAAAAACTAGAAAGCAAGACTAATTTACATACAAAGAAACGGGAAAAAAGTATATATTAAAACTATCTAAGATATATGAAGCAAAAAGGATTACATAATAATGATAATAATGATGACAGGATTAACAGTAATGATGATGATGATAAGAATGATGATGATAGGAATGATAATCATGATGATGGTAGTAATAATGACTATGGTAACGATAATAATTACAATAACAATAATAGTACTACTAATAATGATAATGATAATAATTATCATGAGAAAGGGCAATGCTGATAATAATGATGATGATGATGATAATATAACAAGGATAATAATGACAATAATAATAATGATAATGATAATAATATTAATAAAACTAAAATCATAGAAATGATTATGATAACAATAAGAGCAATAATTATACTGAATAATAAATGATAAATACTGGTAATAATGAAAGTCATAATAAGAATAATAATCATAGTAATGATGATGATAATGATTAATAATAGAACAACAACAATAATGATAATAATACCAATAATGATAATGATAACAAATAATAACTATTATCATAATGATAGCAAAAAATCATAATGATATATAATCATCATCATAATAATAATAAACTATGATGACAATATCGATAAAAAAGAATGATATGCAAAAAAAAAAAAAAAAAAAATAGCCATGTTATTTTCCAAATATTTGATAAAATCCACAAAATTCCTTTTTTAAAATCCGATCCTGGAAAAAAAAAATGCAGAGGGAAAATATTTGTTAAAATCCCATAAAACAGAAATGAAAAAGACAACAAAACACGCTGTAAAACCCGGATGTAGAATGTAAAATAGAATGTGTAATAAAAAAATAAAAAAAAACATTTTAAAGAGATTTAAATCCGCATTAAAAATCAATAGATAAATATGGCAAAAAAAGAGCTTTTGAAAAAAAAGCCACGGTATAAGAAATAAAATAAGATTTTGAAAAAAAGGTCAAAATTCACAACCTTAAAGAATGAAAACAAACAGACACAAAAATAAAACAAAATATATCACCTCAACCCCCTCCCTCTAAAAAAAAATCTAATAACAAAGAAACACAAAGATGAACAAATAAATGGAAAAAAATCGAAGTATACAAATATATAAGAAACCAAGATGCACCCCTGAAAATAATATACATTATTTATATCAGACGTTTTAGAATCAAGACAAGCAAAGAAACACAAAACAAACCAAAGAATGGAAAAGAAAAAAACAACAATATAAAAAAATTCGAGAAAGTAGAAACACCTCCCCCTCCCCCACCCAAAAAAAAAATCGATGACATATTAGAATCAAACAAATA